TCTCTTAGAGCTAGGGATTTTGAACATTTCTTCATGTGCTTGTTAGCCATCTGAATGTCTTTGGTGAAGTGTCTGTTTATATCTTGTGCCCATTTTTCAATTCGGTTATTTACCTTTATCTTGTTGTGGTGCTCAAGTATTTTATAAATTCTAGATATACCAAATTACCAAATACTTTTTCCCAGTCTGTGGCTTCCCTTTTTACCCTGTTGGAGAAGTTTTTGGATATACATAGGGATTTGATTCTTAGACGGTCCCTTTCATCTATTTTATCTTCTCCTGGTTGTAGATTTTTCAGGATACTTGGAAGACTTTTTATGTTGTGGATTAGGACTACTAGAGTTCTTCCAAGCTTTTCTTGAATGAAGTTTATAGTCCTTGGTTTTAGGCCTAGGTCCATGCCCCACCTTGAGTTGGTTTTTGTATATGGAGCGAGGTGTGGTTCTTGCTTGAGTCTTTTGCAGATACTTTTCCAATTTTGCCAATACCATTTGTTAAAAAGGCTGTCACTTTTCCACTTAACTGATTTCATCTCCTTGTAAAAAATCAGTTGACCATAGGTAGATGGGCTGTATTCCAGGTTCTCAATTCTATTCCATTGATCCATGTGTCTGTCATTGTACCAGTACCATGCTGTCTTAACCACCACGGCAGTGTAGTAGCATTTGAAATTAGGGAGTGAGATGCCTCCTACCTCATTTCTATTTTTAAGGAGTGCTTTGCTTATTCGGTCTAGCCATATTTTTATTATCTGTAGCATTATTTTGCATGCATGTGATATTAATGATAATATTCTATAATTTTCACATTCTTTTGGACCACCTTACTTGGGAATGGGAACCAATAAGGATCTCTTCCAGTCATTTGGCCAGATAGCTGTCTTCCAAATTTCCTGGCAGAGACTGGTGAGCATATCTATGGCTGCATCTGCTATTTGGAAGATATCAGTTAGTATCCATTGATTCCTGGGGCCTTCTCCCCCACCCCTAATGCCTTCACTACAGCTTAAATTTCTTCCCTTATCAACATTGGGTCTTTATCATGTGCTTCCTGAAATATTTAAGTGTTGGCCAGTTCTTTTTGCTACAAACGTGACTCTATATAAAGATATTTGAATGGCCAACAGACACATGAAGAAGTGCTCCAAACCACTGGCAATAAGAGAGATGCAAATGAAAACCATAATGAGATATCATCTCACTCCAGTAACAGTGGCAAAGTTTAGCAGGACAGCAAGTAATTAATGTTGGAGAGGATGTGGTGAGATAGGAACTCTTATTATACATTATTGGTGAGATT